CCAAAAAACCCAAAAAAAAAAAAAAAAAACCTAAAAACCCTAAAACCCTAAAAACCCTAAAAACCCTAAAACCCTAAAACCCTAAAACCCTAAAACCCTAAAAACCCCAAAGCCCTGAACCTCGACCTCCCGACTACGCTCTACTCTTGCAAGACCAACAACGAAGCATCCACACCCTAATCCCTGCTAAGGGCACTCTGGAGATCCTAGCAAAAAAACCTGCGCGCCATGGGCCCTTCTATATTGAACCCCAGAAAATTAGAACATATAGTTTATGGTTTAGGGTTTAGGGTTTAGGGTATGGATTTAGGATGAATATTCGTAGGATCCCTTATATAGACTTTTTAGCTTCGGGGCATGAGGACAATTTTGTTCCAACTCCCCAGCCTCTACTTTGATATGAAGGCCTGCAAAAAAAAGACTAGTACAACACAGAACCCAATGCCAAACCTTAAACCCCTAAACGGCAGAGGGCCCTAAACCCCAACCCTGGAACGCCTAAATAACTGCCTACATCCCGCCACGTAAGCCCCAAACCCTAAATCGAAACTCCTAAACCCCATGAACCCTACGCCCTAAGTCCCGAACCACTAAACCCTAAACCCCTGAACCCTAAACCCCTAAGCACTAAACCCTTAAACCCTTAATTGTAAATCCCGTAACCCCAAACCACGAAACCCTCAACCCTAGACCCCTGAACCCTCTGAACCCTGGATCCCTATTGATCCCTCTAAAAGAACCCTTCACCTGACCCCTCAAAGGAACTTAAAGGAACCCTAAACCCTAAACCCTAAACACTGAACCCTCCACCCTCAACTGAAGCCTAAACCCCCAACCCTCAACCCTGAACCCTAAACCCTCAATCCTAAACCCTCATCCCTCAACCCTCAACCCTAAACCCTCAACCCTAAACCCAAAACCCTCAACCCTCAACCCTAAACCCAAAACCCTCAACCCTAAACCCTAAACCCTTCAAAGAAAGCCCAAAACCCTCCAGCCTAAACTCTCAACCCTAAACCCTCCGCCCTAAACCCTCAACCCTAAACCCTCCACCCTAAACCCTTCAAAGGAAGCCTAAACCCAATTCCCAGGGGCTTCCCCCAGGGCGGGAGCCCTGCGCCAAAGGCCGTGGTCTCCCCGGAGTAGTCGAGGAGGTTAAACCTCGCTTGGGGGGCTCCTTTAAGGGTTTAGGGTTTAGGGTTTTAGGGTTTAGGGCTTTAGGGTTCTAGGGCTTTAGGGTTTAGGGTTTTCGGGTTTAGGGTTTAGGGTTTAGGGCTTGTGGCTTTCGGGTTTTAGGGTTTAGGGTATCCTGTTCCATAACAGGGTCCCCTTTAACGGGTATTCTAGGATATTATAAGGTTTAAGGTTTAGGGATTTAGGGGTTTAGGGTTTAGGGTTTTCCCTTCAAAGGAACCGTGAAGTTTGGGGTTTAGTGTTGAGCCTTTACGGCTCCTGTAAGGGTTCCTTTAAGGGCTCCTTTACAGGGCTTGAGGGTTTAGTGATAGAGGCTCCTTTATAAGGGTTCCTTTAAGGGTATTATAGGGTCGCTTTAAAGGGTTTCCTTTTAGGGTTCCATTGAGGGGCTTTAGGGTTTATTTAGTAAAAGGCTTTGGGGTTTATTTAGGCTTTAGGGGTTTAGGGGTTCAGAGTTTAGGGGTGAGGGCCTTAGGGGTTTTAGGGGTTTAAGGCTTTAGGGGTTACGGTTCAGGGTCCTGGATCTAGCCTGGAAGTGCAGGTTGAAACTTAGGCTCCATGCACCTACATATGGGTGGTTGTCAAAATTAGGGTCCCTTTTGGGGTATGAGGGCTACTTTCAGATCTCCCTAAGGATTCTGCATGGGTTATCGTAGGGTTTAGGGTTTCAAGATAACCTCTATGGACCTAAACCCTAAAACCCAGGGGTTTCAAAGTGCGCCCGACTTGCCTAAGGGCGCCTTGGGGGTAGGGATTTGGGCAGTTTCGAGCTTCGGGCTGAAATCGTCTATAACCCTAAGGCTCCATGTGCCTATGTGCTTTAGTAAAGCATCTAGACAGGTTTTAAGCCATATAAGTATAGATTTTAGAGCCAGCGTGAAGGATTAAAAGGTTTGGGGTTTCAGGACATACAATTCATGGATTCTGGGTTTAAGGGTTTCAACTTATTTCCCCAATAAGCCAGGGAAATAAAAGATTAAACTTCCAGATTACTACTACAGTTTAAGAACCCACAAAGTGTACGTAAAGGTTGGGTATTAGGGAACCAAGTCCCTAAACCCTAAACCCTAAACCCTAAACCCTAAAACAGGCTTTCGGATGTGAAGGTGCAGGGGGTGAGGTTTGCTTCGAGAGGTTTCGGGTTTTTAAATGGTTTAGGGGTTTAGGGTTTAGGGTTTAGGGTTTAGGGTTTAGGGTTTAGGTTTTTTGGGGGGGGCTTAGGGTTTAGGGTTTAGGGGTTTAGGGTTTAGGGGCATTCTACAGACCTAAGGGTTCA